CTCAAATCACTCCGGAAATAGTAGAAATTATCATTACTAATCATTACCGAGCGTATCCCATGACAATTTAACGCTCACTGTGTGTTTATGCTCATTAGACTGATGCAAATTTGAAGTTTTCGCTCCACAGTGCTAAAACGGTTCCAAATTGGGTTCTGATTAGCCTCCCAAAATTTAAACTGATTTGGTAAGAAACTGACTTGGCACAAACCATTTGAAGTTTGTATGGAAATTACCATGGGAAAACCTTACTTTTTTTTCATTGCCTTCTAGCTTTTTTCCATATTAAACTGTTAAATAGTTCTGTTGCTATTCTAACGGGAAATTTTCTCAGCTACAACTTAGCGCAAGATCGTTTTTCTGCCAAACGTCAAATTAAATAGTTATTAATTGTTTAAGAGATTGATAATCTTATGGCATGATCAAGCAGCTGTTTTGTGGGCAACACTGAATTCTGTCGTGTGACATAGTAGCCATGATTGTTGTGCCCTAATCCAAGCGTCAGAAACACCAATGTTGCCTGCTGAACAGTTGATTGAGCATAATCATAAGACATCAGCGACTTAAATCATTAATAACTTTTCTTCCTTACATGTTGTCGAAAAGTGATCTTGTAGAAAGTTGTAGCTGAGAAAATTTCCCAAATGCTCAACTTTTATGTTTTAAAGCAGAGGGATATGGTGAATTGTTATATAGATATGATCAAAAAAATTGGTTTTCCCATAGTAATTTCCATATAAAATTCAAATGGTTTGTGCCAAGTCAGTTTCTTACTAAATGAGTTCACATTATGGGAGGCTAATCAGGACTCAATTTGGAACCATTTGAGCACTGTGGAGCGAAAATTTCAAATTTGCATCAGTCTAATGCTCATTTCTTCGATTATATTTTATATTTTATTGTAATACCTTTCGTGGACCTTTCATAGCATCGTAATGTTTATTTACTTTGCACGATAGGTAGCCGTTTTGACAGTTCAATAGGTAGACTTTGCCTCACTCTTGCCGTGACTCATTATACACCGACTCTACCCCATATCTATCCTATACGTTCGACAGTTGCAAGATCACGGGCCTTATTCAAATACGTATACATGGTAGAAAGAGACGGAAAATCGTATTATAAGCAGAAAGACAAGAGCAGATGATAGTATCAAAAAATATGATCGCCAGCCAAGCTTCTGATATGAGTAGATCCTACACTCAAAAAATTCCACACGTCATCATCATGTGTCTCACACTTAATTTTGCACTTATTGTGAAACACATCCATTTCACGTGTGAATCTTTTTCTTTTAACCATACGTCAACACTATTGGTTCGAATTGTGACACACTTGGAGTCTATGTGTGTCACATGGTGATATCAATAGCTTTGCACGTCATAGTACAATGTTCAAACAATATTCTACTTTATCGACTTCTGCTTAACCGAATCCAAAAAATTGAAACGACAAATATATAAACAAAGCTGCTAGAGGCCAGAGCTTACACATGCCTTTTTTAAATGGGTCTGATTAGCGAATTGATCCTGTACTGTTGGGATGTGCTGCTGCCGTTGTCCACGTACGATCTCACTAGGCCACGGTTGGTTGATAAGGATGAAGCCACAACTCATGTGTTACATGATTACCTTGCAGAAAAAGCAATTCACATAGCATTGAAATGCAAAACACTTCAAATCCATCTGTTATGAACAGTAGTGCGATTCAATGTACAATACACTTGAATTGATAGAGAAAGATTATCAATATTTAAAAGTTTGAAACACTTGAAATCAACGTGTAGAACACATTGAACCATGGTGAAATACAGTTAAAATAAATGTGATGAAATCAAGTATTTAAACGCTACGATCAGAGATGTGGACTTTCTTGAGTGTACTCAAATTTGAGTTGTTCAGAAATTACCGTTTCGAACTGTCCTTTCCTATAGATCAGTGCACGGTCCCTAACCTCACTTTTTGCTCCCTATCATTTTGCTTCTGAGTAAAAAAGATAGCAACGAATGGGAGCCAAAACAAACCACCCAAAACTGTCAAAACTTACGGGTGAGAGAAGAGTGCGGCAAATCTTCGTGAACTGATCAATGGGGGAGGTGACTGTCAAATACGAACAATCGTTGCCTACCTCGTATAACTGGTTCCAAACGACAACAAAGCCGCAACGATGGTTTGTTTATGTTTGGAAACAAATTAACGTAGGAAAAATCGATGAGCGTAAACAGGTGAGGCGCAGTAAATTTGTCGTCTCTTTCGTTCCCCAGCTGATAAAATGGATGACTTAGTTTGACGTCACACTCCTTGAACCGTTTGAACAGCGGGAGAACGAAAGAGATAACAAACTCAATGAGCCTTACACATTTACATTAGAGTCGGTGTATACTGAGTCACGCCAAGAGTGAAGCCAAGTCTACTTACTGAACTGTCAAACCGGCTACCTATCGGGTAAAGTAAACAACAATTACGATGCTATGAAAGGTCCACGAAAGGTATTGAAATAAAATATAAAATATAATCGAAGAAATGATTAAACACGCACTGAGCAATAAATTGTCATGGGATACGTTTGGTAATGATCCCTTATGAGAATTTTTACTATTTTTGGTTAAGATATTTTGACTAAATCACTGATATAATGATTTACTACAGCCGCTATTTTTTTTTCTCGCTAGAAGTCATTTGAAGTTGATGTAGAGGTCCTCTGTTGCCAAGTGAAAAGAAAGGGAATCTTTCGAAACCCGTGACGCGAGTTCAACTGTTTTTCTCTTGGCGTGAATCATTATACACCGACTCTAATTCAAGAGCAAATTTTCATTATGTCGTAAGTAACATTCGCACCGATCCGAGAAAAATAAAGTTTTGTTTTGATGACCGAAAAGTTATTCCCATTTCGAATTAAACACATATAGTCTCAAAGTGATAGCAATGTTTAACATATTTAGCCGGGTTTTAATCATTCAAAGGCAAATCGCTAGCTCTCATGCTAAGAAATACTGGTTTTTGAGTCAAAAGTTATTATACGTCGTTTGGTGGCCCCTATTGTTACTTAAGTCAAAGTGTATTTACCAGGATATTCGGGAGAATTATCAATTACGTCTCCTTACGTACAGCCCATTCATCATTTTAAGACCACCGAAATCATCTTAGCAACAAACAGTTCGATTTATTCACTTTAATAATGAGAAAGCGAAACGACGAAAGAACACTTTTCACGGGTTTCTCAGTGCTGTTACTTAAGGCAAACGGCATCTCCATAGAAATCGGGTGACTTAAATAACATCGAAAACACATCGACAGGTAAATAAATTTAAAAATGGGATGTGATCCTATATTCGGACAGTATATAGTGTAATAGCAGGAGCATCGATTGACACTGATAGCTCGACTTTGTTTACCTTTGTTACATTCGACGTAATGAAAATTTGCTCCTGAATTGACAAATCATTGATGGATTTTCAGTTAGCCGATTTGACTGCACGTCCCACGCATAGATATTGCTAAAGTGTGATTGTGTCAGTGATTTGTTTTCATCTGGAAAAAATTTCGCTATGAAGTGTTTTTTCCCGATGAAAACATTAGGCGTATTCGTATACGTGACGTACACACTTAGATTTTTTTGCCGAGATGGGCACCACCGAGCAGCTCGGCATTTTATTTTGCTGGATCTCAGTGAAAAACTTGCCGAGATTCAGCTAACAAACGGGAATTTTGCCGAGATCTCAGCTAACAAACATATTTTTTGCTGAATTTCCAGCAAAATAAAATGCCGAGCTGCTCGGTGGTGCCCATCTCGGCAAAAAAATCTAAGTGTGTAGTGTGCATACGATAAACGTCAGCAAACTCAGTGGTGTGAAAGGATAAGAAACGATCCGCTATGTTTCACGAAATTTTAAAATTGCCAATAGGGTTTCCCTATAGGAGTGATCAGTTGCAGAGTCGTCGTCAACGCGAATGGTTTCACCAATACCAAAACAAAGTTATTCAATAAAGTTCGTAGGCCATAACTAGGAACACGTCTCAAAATTACGTCCCCAATGTTCGGCCTATAGTAATAAAGCGCGATGTAAAGTTACAATAAGAGTGAAAAGTGTGAAATTGATTTTTAGGGCTATCATGTTACATAAAGGTAAGTCATTTCAATTCATGAAATTATCAGGTTTTTTATGACCACTGCAGTGTAGATTTTCGTTAGTGCAATAATACGGCAAGATCATGGCGCTTTTAAATCTAAAAATATGAATATTTCGCAAAACTTTGTCTTTGGAAAAGAGCAATATACGTTCTCAATTGGTCTCAAAAATAGGCTATTCATTTACGGATTACAATTTCACAGCAGATGTGGTATTAGATTTTCATTACTATTGTGTATTATTGCTGAATCAAATGAGTTATTTGGTTGATAGGCCAAAGTGAGGAATTAGGCTGACATTACATCCCAGAACTCTATCTATTTAAGGTGAAAATGGTCCTCAAATTTCTTTCAAGACCGCTTTCCAGCTTACTCTTAACAGCACTACGGCTAAGTTAACCATCCTTCCACGCACAGCCATATCAAGCTCCGGAAAACTAAATTTCAAATCAGCCCCAAAATCCACTTGATCCTTTATCTACATGGGGAACAACAAAACAAACGAGTAAGCTCTCCTCTAAGAGATCAACCTAAAGCGCAGTCAGTCAGCAGCCACTTGCTTGCCTCTAAATCGTTAGCTCGATAATCTACTATAGAGCGCTTGAAACTTCCTAAGGAAGTTTCCAAAATGGACGCGAAAACCAATCATTCCTCTAAACTGACTAAAGAAATCACCTACCTAAACAAAGAAAAGGAACAATCAGGGTGAAATCAACAATAGAAGAAATGACGGAAAACATAAATCTTGAGAATAGTACGATGACTGGAAAACAAGAATTGGAAATAGATCGATGTCAATGACTTGAAAACAAAAGATTATCTCTCTTGTTTGTTTTTTTTTTGTTTTATGTGTTCATAGTTCTCAAATTTACCTGGAAACCATCATATGTCCAACTACCAAACTTCATTTCACATCTTTGATCATCAAATGGAAACCACGTTATATCTATTTTACATGTTGATTTGAAGATTCCTGGTGGCACATATAAACAAGAACCATTATTACGCACGACTACATTTGTTGGATATGTGCCATCAAAGCCTTCATCAGCACTAAAATATAAATATACGGTAATGATGAATTTTCCAACTGCTGTCCACTTTCATTTCAGTTTTGGGGCTATAACTAGTGAAGAGGTGTGTTTAAATCTGTCTAGATTAAAGTAAGATTAGTATTTTCTTGGTAGGTTAAATCTTTTCTTTTTTTTGTATGTAAAGGAACAGTCCTAGTTGGTGGTTATTATATCATTCTCATGGATACAAAACAGAAGGGTGTTTGTAGCTCGTTTTTTGGTTTTGAATTTTTCCATTTGTATTTGTATGTTTGTGTGTGTGTGTCTGTGCGGATGTATGAATTTGAATTGAGTGGTGATTTTTGATTCAACTACAAGTGAGAGGCACATTTTTAGTGAGGATTGATTGATTGATTGATTGTTCTTTTTACGATCGTCAAGATTTCCACGATAGTTCAATCGCAACGAAATTCGCTGTTCGCTCGCCCCTGCACTAGTGGGGATGTGCGAGGGGGTGGCGTCCAGTCAGCAGTGGGATAATTCGGCCGAAACGCGCACGGGCAGGTCAAGCGGAAATTACGGTGCCCTGGTGCACGGAAGCGAGATAGCGAGGAGTTGGTGGGACGAACTGGTTGTCACAGGGCAGACGACTGTGACATGTACCCAGACAACTGAAAGTCATGATGGTGAAATTTTGAGCATATGTCAAGCAATCGTTCTATTTTAAACTTATTCCAGTTGCCTGGGTGGAAAATAGTCGGACAGGATCGCCGGAATAGAAAAGCGGGATCACAGAGGGGAGTCCTTTTTTCCGTTATCTAAGGTGCGTTCAATGAATGTGTGTGTGAAAGAGTATTTTCGCATATGTGTGAGTAACAGTCTGTAGATCAAGCGTGCAGCACACGGTGAATTTCTAAAAAAACTTTCTGACCACGCAGTTTGCAAAAATTATCTCGCTGTCCACCTCGCCTTGTTCGAGGATTATCGTTTTTTTCCTCGGCTTTCATTTGTTGATGCTGTGAGCAACAAGCGAATTTCGTTACGGAGTGGGGGGTTTTGGCATAACTCCAATGTTTGACAGGCACACACAGGTTCAACTGGTGGTGCGTTTTTCGGCCGTGGAGTTTTCGCCGGAAGCGGTCGACGACGACGACGAGGACGACGAGGAGGACGGCAAAAAGAGTAGCGGAGGGTGCAATTATTGCATTATGCTCGCCACCGTCGTTTTCGTTGTCGTTGTCGTCGTCGTCGAAGTTGAGTTGGACCGGAGCAAATTGGGTGTCATTTGCGGTGTGGTGGTTTCGAAGTGGGGTAGCTGGTCCTGTCAGCAGAGTAGTGGAAATAATTCAATTTCTTTTTTGTCGTTAATTGAAGGGGTGGACGTGGCAACAATTGACGTGTGTTATTAAATTTTCCGAAATCACTTATTACGTGTCATTAAAATTGTAAAGATTAATTCAGTACGTCGTTTGATACGTGCAGAACATGGCAGCGTTGTGAGGAAAAAGTTCAACGGCTCTCCGATTTTTCAAGAGATATATGGAGAAAGAATATTTTTAGCATAAAAAATTCAATCCAATTTAGGAAGTATTGGAAAATGTAATAATTAATTAATTAAATCGTTTCTCGCTTTTATGGATAATTATTTGTAGATAATGCAATTAATCTGACACGAATTATTAAATAATAACTCCAGACACGCTAAGAAAACATAGCGATTCAATAAGAAACTAAGCGGATTCAAACTCCAGGGTCGCATGGATATTTCTGAATTTAGATCTCAAAATGACTTGGTTGAAAGAGATTTTCGGGATAAAAATGTAGAAAGGCTGCAACCTCGAGGAACAAGTGAAAAGAGCCTAAGTACCAAATCTCAACCATGACTTGAAACGTCCGTATTTATATTTTTTCAACACTTTCTTTAATGGGGGGGAGTATCGTGCTGGTAAGCAGGTATCAACGTAATCTCGTTCAGCAACTTATACTTTACTGTTACATATACAATCCATAGGCAGATACAAAGGGATGATGTTACGTTTTGCTGTTTTCATGGCCATTTTTCCAAGTATATACATTAGGGTGGGTTGCTGCTTCGACAAAGTTGTTTGGTATAGTATTTTCCAGCTAAGTCCGAGTTTTGGTGAAACTTGAGCAATATTTGGGTTTTGTAAATGGATCGTTCCGTTTCCCATACATTTTCCCATACACAATTTAAAAATCTCCCACAAATCGAGATTATAACCATATTCGATCACATTTTGCCCAGTTGTTGGGGACCTGAATAAGCATTTAAAGAGCAGTGGGGAACCCACCCTAATGTAAATTATTGATCTTTTAAATTTGTCGAACCTATTAACGGAATCCCTTTATGAAGAGCTTTGAGTGTGTTGGTTTATTGCCTTTAAAGTCCGTTATAATTGCTTGTCTTTTGACAGATACGCGTATTTCGTCTAATACTTGCAGACTTCATCAGTGTCAAAGCTCTTCGTAAATTATTGGAAAAATGGCCATGAAAACAGCCAAACGTAACAAAACATTGAAGTACTTTATTAGAAAATTAATAAGGCGTCCCCATGAATAGTACATGGTACAGTAGGGTATAAGTTGCTGAACAAAATAACGTTGAGATCAGCTGCTAATACCTGCTACCCTGCCTCTTAAAGATAACGTTAAAACATTATAAAAACGGACGTAAATCCTTGAAACGAATATATTGCGTGGGAAGTTTTATAAACTGCTCGGAAGTTCTATGATGATCTCGGAAGTACCATGCTCATCTTGGAAGTTATATGAGAGTTTTGGATATTCTATAAACTCCTCGGATGTTATATAAACTGGTCAAACATTCTATGATCATCTTGGAAGTTCTATGAGGATCCCTGAAGTTCTATGAACATCTCGAGAGTTCTGTGAACAGCTCGGAAGTCCTGTGAACTGCTCGTAAGTTCTATGAATATCTCGGGAGCTCTACAAACATGTCGAAAAATCTATGGGTTTTTCGAAAGTCCTGTGAACTGCTCGTAAGTTCTATGAACTAGTCGGAAGTTCTAAGAACTGTTCAAAAGCTATGAACTGCTGGAAAGTTCTATGAACTGCTCGGAAATTCTACGATAATCTTAAAAGTTCTATGAACATTTCGGAAGATCTGTAAACATTTCGGTAGTTATGTGAACTGTTCGTAAGCTCTTTGAATATCTTGGGAGTTCTACAAACATCTCTAAAAATCTAGGAATTTCTCAAAAGTCCTGAGAACAGCACGGAAGTTCTATGAACTGACTGGAAGTGCTAGGGACATTTTGTAAGTTCTATGGACACTTCGGAAGTTCTAAGAACTGTTCAGAAGCTCTATCTACTGCTCAGAAGTTAAAATAAATTCTCGGAAGTTCTATGAACTGCTGGAAATTTCAATGAACATCTCGGAAATTCTATGATCATCTAGAAAGTTCTATTGACATTTAGAAGGTTTTGTGATCATCTCGGAAGTCATGTGAACTGCTCGTAAGCTCTATGAATATCTCGGGAGTTCTACAAACATCTCGAAAAATCTATGATTTTCTCGAAAGTACTGAAAACATCACGGAAGTTCTAAAAAAGGGTTGGAAGTTCTAGGGACACTTAGGAAATTCTATGGTCACTTTGGAAACTCTAAGAAATGTTCAAAAGCTCTATGTACTGCTTGGAAGTTTAAATAAATTTTCGGAAGTTTTATGAACTGCTGGAAAGTTCTATGAACTGCTCGGAAATTCTATGATCATCTAGAAAGTTCTATGAACATGTCGGAAGATCTGTGAACAGCTCGGAAGCTCTATGAATATCTCCTGAGTTCTACAAACATCTCGAAAAATCTATGAATTTCTCGAACGTCCTGAGAATACAACAGAAGTTCTATGAACTGGTTGGAAATTCTAAGGACACTTCGGAAGTTCTATGATGACTCCGGAAGCTCTAAAAACTGTTCAGAAGCTCTATGTACTGCTCAGAATTTAAAAAAAATTCTCGGAAGTTCTACGAACCGCTGAAAAGTTCTATGAACATCTCAGAAATTCGATGATCATCCAAAAAGTTCTATGAACATCTCGGAAGATCTGTGAATAGCTTGGAAGTTCTGTGAACTGCTCGTAAGTTCTATGAATATTTCTGGAGTTCTTCAAAAATCTCGAAAAATCTATGAATTTTTCGAAAGTCCTGTGAACAGCACGGATGTTCTATCAACAAGTCGGAAGTTCTAGGGACACTTCGGAAGTTCTATGAACACTTCGGAAGCTCTAAGAACTGTTCAGAAGCTCTATGTACTGCTCGGAAGTTTAAACAAATTCTCAGAAGTTCTATGAACTGCTGGAAAGTTCTATGAACATCTCGGAAATTCTATGATCATCTAGAAAGTTCTATGAACATTCCGGAAAATCTGTAAACAGCTCGGAAGTTATGCGAATTGCTCGTAAGAACTATGAATATCTCGGGACTTCTACAAACATCTCGAAAAATCTAGGAATTTCTCGAAAGTCCTGAGAACAGCACGGAAGTTGTATGAACTGGTTGGAAGTTCTAGGAACACTTCGGACGATCAATAAACACTTCAGAAACTCTAAGAACTGATCAGAAGCTTTATGTACTGCTCAGAAGTTTAAATAAATTCTCGGAAGTTCTATGAACTGCTGGAAAGTTCTATGAACATCTCGGAAATTCTATGATCATCTAAAAAGTTCTATGAACATTTCGGAAGATCTGTAAACAGCTTGGAAGTTATGTGAACTGTTCGTAAGTTCTATGAACATCTCGGGAGTTCTACAAACAGCTCGAAAAATCTATGATATTCTTGAAAATCCTGAAAATAGTACGGAAGTTCTATGAACTAGTTGGAAGTTCTATGAACTAGTCCGAAGTTCTAGGGACACTTCGGAAGTTCTATGAACACTTCAGAAGCTCTAAGAACTGTTCAGAAGCTCTATGTATTACTCAGAAGTTTAAATAAATTCTCGGAAGTTCTATGAACTGCTGGAAAGTTCAATTAACTGCTCGGATATTCAATAATCATCTAGA